CAACCAGGCTGGCAGGGGAGGGCAGTTAGGGTTGACCAGGCTGGCAGGGGAGGGCAGTTAGGGGCAATCAGGCAGGCAGTCAAGTGAGCAGTTAGAAGCCAGTGGTCCTGGAATGGAGAGAGTGCAGGTTGGGCTGAGGGACCCCCGCTCCCATGCATGAATTTCATGCACCAGGCCTCTAGTGGAATATAAAAGCTTAGTGGAGGAAAAAGGCTTAGTGGAAAAGAGAAAGAAGAATATAACAGGTAAACATGGAAAGATATAAACAAAAAAATTATGAGACATTACAGAAAGAGAACTTAGTGCAATGATTTATCAGATAAGTTAAAAAAGGGAATGGGGGTTAGAAAGAGCTTCCAGAAGGGGTTAAGGTGTCAATTGCCAGGCATTGGTAAGAGCAAAGAAAATAAAATTCAGAGGAACTGAGTGCATTTTATACATAGCACATTATTGATAACCTCTGCAGTCCAGAAGAGTAGGGGTGAAAGTCAATTTCAAAGTGGTTAAGAAAAAGTGAGTAGGAGGAAAGAGAATTATTATTAGCATAAGAGAGTTTTATTCTGAGATTTAGAAACAGTATCAAGAATAAATTTTGTCCTCATAGCAGGAAAAATATACTAAACTGAAACTAATAAAAGCCAGCAGAAACATCTTCTTCAACAAACCTTTGTCAATAACACAGAATACAGAAAAAGCAATACTCCAAATTTGCTTCCCCACATTGAATACTGGTCCAAGACAGCATCTTTTAATTCGGATAAACTTCCGAATGATCTTTTCCTGGGGGTGAAAAGAATTAAATATGAGTACCATCATAAGGTTTACTACATTCGTAAATGGGAAAATTCTTAAATTGTCTTATACATTAAAAATTTATATATACAAACAGGAGATTTTTGTGTCTTAAATTTTCAAATATAAATTTAGCCATTAAAAGCAAAAGCTATTGCTGGGTGACAACTGTCACTATATATAATATACGCCATTAAGACAGAATGTATACTTGGTAGGGAATGTCTTCATCCCGTAGGTGAACTGTCTGGCACCAATAAATTCTTCAATAATTATACCGTTATTTAAGGAATAAAGTGGCCCTCTTCAAAGATGAGTTTAAGAACAAACAAATGTTGACTTTTGTACATTTGTAACTTTTTAAAAAAATTAATGTTATATTTCAAATGCCACCTATAATTCTATCAACATAGCTATCCTCCCTTTTATTTTGTAATAAAAAGTTTAAATGATCTAATGAAGACATGGCAGCTTTAATGAAAACTATAGAAAGTATATTTTGATAAACAATAAATAATTCAAACACTTATTCTACTAGAAACCTTTATACTCACTCAGGACAGAGAAACATTAAGCTAAAATTATTTTTTCATTGTCATGATAAAAAAGCTTTTAGTGTTAAAGAAAGTGTATTTTGATAGTTAATTTAGGAATTTGAATAATTTAAGTACACATTTACAAATTATTTCTTAATTTGAAAACAAATTAATCTCAGGCATATAAATCTAAGTACCTTTCCCCAGTATGAACAAAATTAAAATGGCAATGTGTCCACAAGGTAAGTATTTTAAATGTTCCAATGTTACTTACTGAATTAATGCATGAAATCGCTCAAAGCCAAGCTCTTCGACAGCCAAGGCAGCTATACATAAAAGACACTTTTCAGCACTACACATGGCAAATAAATGACACAAGATACACACAGCAGGCTGTAAATACTTTCAAGCAATCAAAACTTTCCCTCTTTTCTCACTCCTTTAAAATCCTCAGTTTATTTTCAACTTTAGTATTATATAAATTTATATTTCAACATTTTAGTTACCATGATTATGCCTAAAATGGATATAATACTGAGAATGTAGAAGTATTAAATAATACACTTCTTTTCAATTCAGTTATGCTAGGATCATTTATAAAATATGAAAAATCATAGTGCTTCACACATCATTGTAACGTGTCCTGCACTTTCATATAATCGTTCAATCCACATATCCAAGTAAAATCATCTAGCTAACCTTCCTCTTTATAATATAAATCTTTACATTGAATGCTTAATTATTAAACAAAATGCGTATAAAAAGGCATAGCATTTTGAAACTATACAGGTTCAAGGACAGCTTTAAGTTTGTTTCCGCATTAATTAATATAACTGTTGAGAAGTTTTCAGTAACTTACTTAGATTACATTTATTAATACAGCACCACTATAAATTTTTTAAAAATCAAAGGAAACATTTAAATCAAAGGTAATGCTTATTTAGAACTTTTCTGAGTGCCAGGCCCCTTGACAAATGCTCTACTGGTCTTACCTCACTTAACCCTCACAACCACCCTAATAGTCCTCATTTCGCAGAAGCGGAAACTGAGGCACTGAGAAGAATCCTCTCAAGTGCACACAGCAATAAACAGCAGAGCTAAGATTTCAATCCTGAGAGTCTTGGCTCCCCAAAGATAAAGTCTGTCAAGATGAATAAAAATGCCTACTCAATTTATCACAATGAACAATTTCATATGTGCTTATATCTATACTAATAAAATGGTAATATGCTAATTAGAGCAGGATGGAGTACATTTGGGGGCATTTGGGCCAGCAGAGGAGCAGTTAGGCATCGATCAGGCGGGTAGGGGAGTGGAAGCTGCAGCACTTAGGGCTGAGGAAGAAGTGGTTAGGGGCAATCAGGCAGGCAGGCAAGTGGTTAGGGGCAATCAGGCAGGCAGGCTGAGGTGGTTAGGGGTGATCAGGCAGGAGGGCAGTTGGAGGTGAGCAGGCTGGCAGACAGAGTGGTTAGGGGTGATCAGACAGGCAGGCAGGTGAGTGGTTAGGAGCCAGCAGTCCCAGATTGTGAGAGGGATGTCCAACTGCCAGTCATCCCCCAAGAGGTCCCAGATTGGAAAGGGTGCAGGCCGGGCTGAGGGACACCCCCTCACCCATACACAAATTTCATGTACCGGGCCACTGGTATATTCATAAAGCAAATCTTAGTACTTTCAAATATTAATTCTCAATTTTGATTTACAATTTAAAAGGTCACATTACGTTACCCTTTCAAAGTCTAGTATCAATATTCAAATGTTTGAAATTACTTTTTAAAATCTTTAAAAATCCAATGGCTTAAGTAATCTTTTAATTTGTGTGGGAAACAAACTGAAATTGAACCTGATTGTTCATTATTGCAAACAAGTGTGCGTACCAGAAGCCAAAACTATACACACCACACAAGCCAATGAAATTAATGTTTGTGCAGAATGTAATATTGACAAAGGGGAAAATAGTTCACATTTAAAATTTCAGGATAAAATAAAAATTCTACCTAATATTTTCCAAATTGTACTAATATTCCTGTACCTGATTATCTAAATAATTTTACAGGGCATACATTACAAAAGTTGACATAAAGATAGTAACTTAGAGAAAGGAGGCAAGCAAAATAAAAAACTTAGCAGGCAGGATGATGGAAAAATGTAAAACACAAAAAACAATAGCTGGAAATAAAGGAAAGAACAGGTAAAATAAGTTGTTACATGGAATACAAATTTTAGTGTAAGTTCATTTCATTTATCAACATCTAAAGTAAATTTCTTAAATTTTCAGTTAATAAAAATTTTCAAATTTATAGATTATAAAAAAGCAAATTTAAAATCTGGTTTTATTCATGTCCACTTTTAAAATGAGGCAAAGTAAACTGAACAATCAGTAAAATATGTTTTTTGAAGAGGAATTCAATATAGTATGCCCATCTAAGTTAATTCCTAAAGTATCAAATTTAATGTATCATGAGGCCACTCAACCTATTACTATGAAATGTACAGCACAGTCCATAATAAGTACACAGTATATACTAAGATACTAATAAAAAATGTTACAAAAAGATCTTTACTATTTTCTTATATTTGAATATAAACTAACTTTAAGCACCTAATCTTTAAAATAACTTTTAATTAGTTCAACTATTATTGTCAAAATGTTGATTAACTTTAATGAAACTATTAAATATGCTTACATGCAATCCAGTCAAACCTAGAAAATATTTTAAAACAATCTTTATTTTTAATCTTAATGACATCTTTTACTATCAACCTAGTGAATATTTTCCACGCGTTTCCTTCAATTGTATTATCAACTCTAAAAATGCTAAATTTTTTGAGAGGTTATATTGAAAGGCCTGAAAATAAAAACGTCACTGAACTGTTTAAATTTTTAAAATTCTTCCTTGCAAATGTGCTATTAGAATTCGCCAATGTAACTGCAGAGGTAGAAGAGAAAATGCTGACATCACAGACACATTTTAGCAAGGAGGCAATAGTGCATCACAGACAGTCCTATTGGGAAAGCAAGATGTATATCACAATCAAAATTTACTTTCTAGGAATTGGTTGTCTAATTTCTTTAAAAATAATTTCCAATGTTAATGAAATGCATTATAGGTAGAATAAGTCACTTATTCTATATAAACACTTGGAAGTACCAATTATCAAAAGCCAACTGCTAGTAAGATAGGTCCTGGAAAGAAAAACAAGACAGCAACTCTTTTTATCTAGTTTCTATATATCACTAGTTCATTCTGGCAGTTTTTAGGGCAATTACATAAGAATTTTCAAAGGTGAAAGACTACAGAATATATTATTTTTATAATGAGAATAGTTATTTAGTTTATTTTGAAGAAAAATCTTCAAAGTACAAAAAACTTAAATGAAGGCAAAATTAAAACTCATAATTAAAATTACTTTAAAATAATTCATATACAGTAACAATAGCCAAAAAGTTCAGGAGAAATGGAAACATATGAAAAAAAAAGTCCCCATCTTTGCTCTATAAAGTAACAAAAACTATTTTAAGAAATTTTCTGGAAAAAAAAGAGCCTTTTCTTCCCTAATGCCAAAGTAAACATTAAGGCATTTGAAATTAAAGTATATATAAATACGTTCTTTAAACTTTCTAAATGAGAGTTTCAAAGCTCACAGAGAATGTCATCAAGCAGAATTTTTTATTTTATTTAAGAAATGCATTTTCTTTTTTTTTACCCCAAAAATGAAAGCAAAAAGAAACAAATGCAATGTCCTTTAGCAATTAAAATAATCAAAATGAGCCCTAACCAGTTTGGTTCAGTGGATAGAGCGTCAGCCTGTGGACTGAAAGGTCCCAGGTTCGTTTCCAGTCAAGGGCATGTACCTTGGTTGCCGGCACATCCCCAGTGGGGGGTGTGCAGGAGGCAGCTGATTGATGTTTCTCTCTCATTGATGTTTCCAACTCTCTATCCCTCTTCCTTTCCCTTCCTCTCTGTAAAAAAATTAATAAAATATATTTAAATAAATAAATATAAAATAATCAAAATGGAAATGAAAAATACTAAGGCTCATGAATTAAGCTTCTGCTGAAAAAGAGACATGTTATGAAATTTTTAATTCTTTTTTCTTTAAATTGTCAATAGTTTTATTAAAACAAAGGTATAAGAAATTACTTTAGGAAAAAAATGTATCTTACAAGAAGAATGTTCCACTTGGCAACTAGACTCTGCAGGACTCCCAGAAATACTAGCATTTTCCTCGGCTGTCTTTCCTCTTAACCATGAAACCAAGCAGTACGATCCAGAGTTGTCACAACAGGCACTTTCTAAAATATCACATAAGGTGTGACAAAGGAGTTCCTTCAGCTCTTCCTCTAAAAATAACCGAAGTACAAATTACAATGGTTTCCTTTGGGGAAAAAATCCGGGCGTGAATAACAATCTTATGAATGTTTTCATTTAATGAAAATCAAGCATTCCAAGTGGGGGGAAAATCCAAACAAGTGATCTGAAATTATATTTTAGAAAAATAATGTGCTTGAGGGTTACAATGTCACCATTACTAAATATTTCCATTACTGAGAAAAAGAATCTTAAAAAATGCAGAATCAAACATTACTAGAAAAAAATATGCTACCTGATAACGATCAACTCTTTCTTACCTGCAAATGAAACATTTAAGTCACGAGGTTTCCTTTATTGTAGAACCAGGCACAATGTAAGAGCCCCTTGAGACCTCTTTTTCCCCCATTTTTGAATTAATCTAATGTCTCTGATCTTCCTGTCCCACAGAGTAAGGATAATGAGATAACATACCCTCAGCACAAACAATACCACAACCTATTAGATGAGCAGGGGCCATTGTTGTTATGCTGCATAATATAGAAGCTACTAATACTGTATTACAGTCATTTGAACTATAGATTTTGCACAAATGCTCAATTTCTTCCTGTACCTTAGCCACCTTCCCCTTTTTGAGAAGTATTATTGCTTTCTGAAACTTTCAAAGAGGATAAGATGTATACACAGCCTATGTAAAATTGTGTGCTATAGGGAGGTTTCTATTTCTCCTAATAGATTTAAAGTTCTTTAAAGGCCGGGACTGTGTCATTCATTTTATAACCTCCATAGCATATGACATTTATGACAATGCATATACATTTTTTATCAATAAGAATATATTTCTGTGCAAGCAATCTAATTAGTAAAATGTTGATGTTAATATTATCTCTTGAATAGTCTCTTCTCTACTAAACTTTATTTTGCATTCCCACTATTAATGAATAAAAAATACATGAGAATGATACTTTTAACTCTTAAATTCAAAATCACTATGGGCATGGTTTAGAATGCAAGTTGTTTTTCCCTAATATACTAACTGGGATTATAATATATTCTACCTCCTTTCACAAGGTATTGTGAAGTCACATAAAATTGTGTAAGATTTTTGTAAGCTGTCAAGTGAATTATCAGGTAGTACCATACTGCTCTCTGACCTAAGCATATTGCAGAAGCTATGGCAGCTTCATTTGCAATTTAATTCACAATTATTTGCAATATTATTTGCATTGTGTAAGACATAATACTAAAAGATGTAGAAATACAAAGATAACTGAGTTCCTGCTCAGAGCAAAGACAAAACAAACATAAAACAATTATTCCTTATAATATGCTGTAATTTAACAGTTTAGGGTGCTCTATCCTTATTTTATCAAGAGGCCAAAGCTTTTTCCCTTACTTATATTATCCTGTCATATGTCTTGGGAATACCAAATTGGAAATATATGCATTTAAAAATTTGGAGTCACTGACCATGAATCTTCCTGAAATATCAAAAATAAGAAACATGCTCAGCTGGTGTGACTCAGTGGTTGAGCATCAACCCATGCATCAAGAGGTCATGGGTTCGATTCCCGTCAGGATACATGCCCATCTTTGGGCTCGATCCCCAGTAAAGGGCGTGCAGGAGGCAGCCAGTCATTGTTTCTCTCTCATCAATGTTTCTATCTCTTTCTCCTTCTCCTCCTTTAAGAATCAATAAAAACATAGCTTAAAAAAAAAGAAACCTAAGGAAAAATATCTCATTGATAGTGCACTTTTTAAGAATAGATAATTTTAACTATTGCCAATGAATGTTGCATAGGTCACCTGTAAAATTGAGGATGGAGTAAATGTTTATAAGATAGCTCTCATACCTGGACAATCCCTCCAAGAAGACTTCTCAGAAGAAAACAGGAGCTTCTTCAAAAGAAATGCCTTTATACAATTAAAGCAATAATTATTACCACGCATCACAAATATACCTTATATCATTTATTTTAAAATATAAAAAAACTAATTTGCACCACCTTTCTAATCTTTTGCATAGCACTATGAAAATTTCAAATGGCTCCCCTTCACATTCAACAATAACTGAAGATAATTATGTATCCAGGATATACTATTATAAACTTAATTCTATGTCCATAAAATTCTTCTTCTATCATAATATGTATTTTCTGATAAATAGAAGAATTGACTCAAAATCAGACACATGATTGGAAACTTAAAGAAATGTAAAGTGAAAGCCCTATAAAACAGGAATAAGTCCACATTTCTCTTTGATTCCTTGGAGGAAAAGAAATCTAAATACAAGAGTGTTTCTGCACTATGAGCTCTGATTTGTGATACAAGAATACCACTATGAGTCATCACTCTATAAGAAGCTTCTAACTTCCTGGTTTAAATAAAACAGCTATAAGATTTAAGAGAAAAAAACAAACTGATTTCTAACCTTTCCTTACATGAACCAACGATGTTAAATTGCTGATTTAATAGAAAGTAGTTCAGGGTAGTACAGTGTTTCCTTCTTAAGCTGCAGTTCAAGGGGCTATGGCATCCTAGTCTTATCTAAAATGCAAATTCTTATGCCTCCATCTTTTGTATCTGAATCTCTAGGGGGCAGATTCAAGAAAAAGAGGTTACTATGATGATTCGGATTTATATGTGTTTGAAAGCAGTAGCATACAATGGGATTATTTTCCATTGTAATGTTTTCCCACAGAATTCATAACAGTAATTCTTAATCACCAAATTTCTATCAAGCTATCAAAATTCACATAAATATTGTTTCATGTTTATACTACATTACTATACATTAAGTTGTTTGCAATGTTTTTGCTGCTATAAATATAAAAGCTATTTCTTGACTACAACATTTCCCATATTAAAGGTTATTTCTTTAGGAAAGATTCACAGGGAAGTACAATTATTACATTAAAAAAAAACTGCATTATCATGGTTCCAATTATAATGTAAAATTCCTTCCAAAATCTAAGTACAAATTTGTACTATATAGTGATATATGAGTATGCCAGCATATCCTACCTTACATGTACTGGCAATTATTTTCTATTTAAAGATTAAAAAGAGTAAGCAGTAGACTCCAGTTACAGTTTTATTTGTACTTTCTTGGGTTCCTACTGAGGTAAACATCTTGATTCTTTGGCTGTCCAGCACCATTTCACCCATTCTGATTGCATATACATGCTCATTTCACCTCTGGGGTCTTTGTGTTTTATAACTAATTTGTTCAAATTCTTTGTTTAAGAAAGACAACATCTATTTATTGTTAATATTCACTGCAAATGTTTTTCTGAGTCTGGAACTCATACTTTCTCTTAGATGGTTGACAATATATTATTTTTAGTTTTTCTGTGGTTTAATATGACATTAAGAATATATTTGGGCTGAAACCGGTTTGGCTCAGTGGATAGAGCGTAAGCCTGCGGACTGAAAGGTCCCAGGTTCGATTCCAGTCAAGGGCATGTACCTGGGTTGCGGGCACATCCCCAGTAGCAGATGTGCAGGAGGCGCTGATAGATGTTTCTCTCTCATCTAACTCTCTATCTCTCTCCCTTCCTCTCTGTAAAAAATCAATAAAATATATTTTTTAAAAAAATAATATATTTGGTATATGATATGAGATTATCTAAATTCATTTTTCTCTCTCAAACTGCCAACCAGTCATATCAGTGACATTCAGTAAACTTCATTTTTCTCTACCACTGATTACTTGGTTCTATAATATGACTATTCTTTAAGCAATAGCGCATATCTTATTTTTTATAATTTAAAAAGTTTTAATACTTGGACTTTCTCATTTCCCTTCATTATTAATGGTTTAGTTTTGACTTTTACTTGAAATTGCAATATAAACAAAATTCCTCTATGACTGAAAAGATTTATGTGACTATGAAACTAAATTACTACCTCAAAGACACATCAGGATTTTGAACATTACAATTATCTCTTTTTATACAACAACCCCACTTGCAAAAATAACTGCCATTTTGGAAATGTAATGAATCTTATAAAACAAAAAAACTCCTGTGGTGTATCTTGCATTTAATTACATTCATTGACTTACAATAAATAAAGACCTGAAGGTACTATTAATGGCCCAAGAGGGGCAAAGTTAATATAATCTAACTTGCAAATGAGAAGGACAAGGAATCTTCAAATTTAGATAATAAGATTCCTACTAGCAACCAAAATTTGCCTGTTATTCAACATAATTTCTCTAATCAATTTATGGTTAAATTTTATTCTTTATATTCAGTAACTCCCAAGCAAAGTTCAAACATTCAATTTTTTCTTAATTTTTTTAATAATTCTACTAATGTAAAAAATATATCAACTCTTTAAAGAAATAAAATAATGACCTAAAAGGATATTATTTTAGAATCTTCCATGAAGGGAGATTTTTTCCCCCCTCCTTCAAGGAATATACTTTTCATTTAATAATGTAAGTGTATAAAGTATAAGTTTTGAGAAATTTACTTTGAAGCTAACAGTTCAGGAATGCATTCTTTATGCCCAATGAATAATAAATACAACATTAAATATTTATTTTCAAAACCTGCTGACTGAACATAAACAACAAATTCAAGCTTCTTTTGTAACAGTTCTAAAGTTACATTGCTGTTTCAGACATAAGTGTAACAGTAAACTGAAAATTCAATTTTTGGTTTTAACAATGTAATGGTTATAACAAATCAGTCTTTGAAATTCAAACAATGTTACACATCAGTATTCAAAATCAAATACATATATTCAGATTAACCCTTCTTTTATGGTATTAATAAAATAGAAATGAAGATTAAAAAATCTTTTTATGCCCTAACCAGTTTGGCTCAGTGGATAGAGCATCAGCCTGCGGACTGAAGGGTCCCAGGTTCGATTCCGTCCAAGGGCATGTACCTGGGTTGCTGGCACATCCCCAGTAGGGGGTGTGCAGGAGGCAGCTGATCGATGTTTCTCTTGCATCGATGTTTCTAACTCTCTATCCCTCTCCTTTCCTCTCTGTGAAAAATCAATAAAATATATTTTTTTAAAAAAATCTTTTTATTTTGCACATTCTGTTTTAAATCAGTTGCTACTAATTTTAATTTAAAGGCCAAAGCTATACCCTAAAATAGTATAACCTGCCAAATTATTTTAAAATTTGTAAAATTTTAGGTCATGAAAATATTCAACATTTTAGGAATATCATTCTTATAGAGAGATCAAATAAAAATAGTATCATTGCTATAATGTACTTATCTGTAGTATAAAATGTTATTATTCAACAGGATCATTGTATTAGAAAAATGACATGATCATTAATGCCTCATTTTCTGAAAATCAGGGAACACTTATTATATTTTCTTGAAAACATAGTCCAGTCCTAGCCGGTTTGGCTCAGTGGATAGAGCGTCAGCCTGCGGACTAAAGGGTCCCAGGTTCAACTCCGGCCAAGGGCACATGCCCAGGTTGCGGGCTCCATCTGCCCCTGACCCCAATAGGGGACGTATAGGAGGCAGCCAATCAATGATATTCCCTCTCATCATTGATGTTTCTATCTCTCTCCCCCTCTACCTTCTTTTCTGAAATCACTTGTTTCTAACTCTCTATCTCTCTCCCATACTCTCTGTAAAAAATCAAAATATATTTAAGATATACATATATATATATACACACATATATATACATATACATATATACATATGTATATATATATATATATATATATACACACACATCTAATACATATATATTTTTTTTCCAAAGACTATTGCTGTGTAACCTACTCATGTTCTGAATTCACTTTTTTTCTTTTTTATTGACTTTAATAAAATTGGTTAATAAAATTATATAGGTTTCATGTGTACAATTCTACAATACATCATTGGTGTGTTCACCACTCCAAGGCAAGTCTCCTTCCATCACTATTTATTCCCCCTATACCTTCTTCTAATTCCACCAAACCCTCTTCACATCTGGCAATCACCATACTGTGTGTCTCCGCTGAATGCACTTATATTTTTTATATCTATAGCAATTTACATGAACAAAAGTTGAGAGGTAACTGACCATGCATCATGATTACAGAGCATATATATTAGAAAGCAAAAAGTAAAGTATGAAATGTTTGAACACGTCCCTCTAAGGAGTTGATAAAGTAGTCTATGTTACCTGAACAGGTGCAATAACAGCACAGGGGCCACCTTCAAACTGTTCTAATGCAGATCCCTCTGATTCACTAAACACAAACCCTAAAAATGAAAGCAAGTAGCAAAGATTAAAAATGTAATTCAAATAGCAACTAAAAGAATTTTTAATGTACTTTGCTTTGAGAAAGATCACTTATCACACAACAACGTATTTTCAAGTCAGGAGCCGTGTTAACTTTTGTGGGGGATCAAGGAACCCTTTGAAAAAAGATATGGAACCTATACTTCCCCACACAGTGCACATAAACACTGACACACACATGCACACACAATATTTTGTATCCAGGGACCCCTCTAAGTGGACTAGGGGGATAAAGTGTGGAAAAGGATACCAAATCTGACTTTTATATAATTTCATTTACTTGAAGACTAGACAGTCAATCTACTGAATTCAAACCAAAGTTTAGGACCCTTTCCATACAGTACATGTATTTTTTGTCCCAATTTTCTGTCTCACATTCTATAAGCTAAAAATTATTAAATGGTATCATACATAGCAGTGAATGTACTCACATTGGCTCTGTCTTAATTTAAATATTCCCCAACCAATACTGTCTGAGAGCAGCTAGTAGAAGCTGCCACAGAGAGCACTGGCACACTGCAGCACAAGGACAGAAGTGAGAATTGAGTTACTATGTGTATAACCTTTAGGAAATCATTTCACATCTGTAGGCCTCAGTCATCTTTAAAATGATCACTTCCAATTCCAACAGGCTAGGAATATGTAAAGTTTCATTAAAGATTATATTTCAGTAATTCATCCAACAAATATTTAATAAGCATCAGATAATGCACCAAGCATCTAGATATATGAATGAATGAGTCCATAATAGTCTGGAGGAGCCAACAGTTCAGGGGAAGACAGACATATAAACAAATAAACACTAAAATAAATGAATGTTAAAACAGAAGTATGAAGACAGAGCTGTGGATACAGAAAAGAATGACTGCCCTGGCTGGCATGGCTCAATGGTCAGAGAGTCAGCCTGCGGACTGAAGGGTCTTGGATTCAATTCCCAGTCAAGGGATCCTATCTGGATTGCAGGTTCGATCCCCAGTTCTAGTGGGGCACATGCGGGAGGCAAACAATCTCTCTCTTCTCTCTCTCCCCCTAAATATCAATAGGAAGAATATCCTCAGGTGAGGATTAACAAAACAAAAAAGGAATGACTTACTCTGCCCCAAGTCAAATTATAACAGGGGACTTTGAGGTTGATCTAGAATAGGAATTTTCCAGAGAGGCAAGGGTGGGAAGATAACCTTCAGATAAAGAAAACCTTTATTAAAGGATACAGGGTAAGAGCAGGGCACGTTTATGGATCAAAGGGAAATTTAAAGTAGCTGAAAGGCAATATAGGGGTAGGATAGAGGAGATGGTAAATGGAATACTGACAAGAGGTTAATAACGGGTTAATAAGAGTACCTTGACAAGTACTAATATTATCATACTTTTTTTTCTTTTGTAAGTGACTAGAATGGGGATGAAGTTGTTTCAACAGCCCTTTAGAGACAGTGCTAAACTGATAAAAGCAACACAGTGTGGAGGAGAAACTATATGCAAACAATATTTCTGTGGTAAACATTAAGATGTGATGAATACTTGCAAGTGGGACAAAGGCTTGGTACAAAAGAAATTCGAGCTGACTGAAGTATCTAGCTTGAAATATTACATGATAGCAAGTAAAGTAAGAAATAGTGTAGAGCAGTGATTTTCAACAGGTATGCTGCAGGAATTTTTACAACGTGCAACACCTGATTACTCAGTCAGGGGCAATGACCTCTTTTCCCTTAGCCAGTGGTTCTCAACCTTCCTAAAGCCACGACCCTATAATACAGGTCCTCATGTTATGGTACCCCCAACCATAAAATTATTTTCGTTGCTACTTCATAACTGTAATTTTGCTACTGTTATGAATCGTAATGTAAATATTTTATATGCAGGATGTATTTTCATTGTTTGCAACCCACAGGTTGAGAACCACTGCCTTAGACGTGTCAAATAAAAAATGACAACAGCCAACACAATAGTTATCCACTGTGAATGCTCTGTCTTGAACCGTAAATATCTACACTAATAAAAGACAAACATGCAAATTGACCATACCTTCACTACACCTTAAGCCATGCCCACCAGCCAATCTGAGAGACTATATGCAAATTAACCCAACCAAGATGGTGACTGGCAGCCACGGAGCTGGAGCAAGCAGGAGGCTTGGTTGCC